TGAGTTCGGTTCCCGGTACTGGAGAAAAACCAAAAAAAAAAAAAAAAAAGAAGTAAATTAGTTATATAAAGAAATTTCTTGTAATAATAACAGAAAAGAGTCAGGTAAAAAATTATATGGTCAATCAGGTGTGGTGGCACATGCCTATAATGCTAGCATTTGGTGGGCTGAGGCGGGAAGGTCACAAATTCCAGCCACCCTGAGGAATTTAGCAAAACCCTGTATCAAAATAAAGGGCTGGGGATATGGCTCAATGCAAAGGCGAAGAGTTCAACCCCCAGTACAAAACAACAACAGCAACAACAAAAGTTAGTATGATCATGACTGTATGAAAATTACTCAGTCTACAAAAATATGTCAAAATGTTGGAACATTTGTCTTTGGGTGATGAAATTATAGACGACTTTTTTCTCTGTTCATCTTGTTTCATTTTCCAAATATTCCTCACTGAGCGTAAGTTACTTTATTCATTATCAAACTACTAGGTAAAATATATGTTCAAATAGAACTAACTAAGGGTTGTTTTCATGTTAATTTGAAACTCTCCACAACACAAAATGATAAAGCCTTCGACTGGTGGTGACTAGAAGAAATGTTTCAGCATTATTTTGTCTGAATTATCTTTGTGTTTTTTGGCTTTAGCATTATTTTCTGTTTTTCTTTGTCCGCAGACTAACTGAACTTTTCTTCCTTCTCTTTGGCACTCCCAGCTGTCGCCTATGGAGTCCCACCTCCAGGATACGGAGCACTCCCTGCGGGATATGGAGCCCCACCTGCTGGATATGTAGCGTCACCTGCGGGCTATGGAGCCCCGCCTCCTGGCTATGGAGCCCCGCCTCCTGGCTATGGAGCCCCACCTCCTGGCTATGGAGCCCCGCCTCCCGGATACGGAGCCCCGCCTCCCGGATATGGAGCCCCGCCTCCCAGATACGGAGCCCCGCCTCCTGGATACGGAGTTCCACCTGGAGGATACGGAGCTCCTCCTCCCAGATATGAAACTCCGCCTCCAAGATACGGAGCTCAACCTGGAGGCTCTAACTCCCCACCTCCCAGATACGAGACCCCGCCTACTGGATTTAGACCGGAAGCCCGACCTTCTGGGTCCAGAACCCAGTCGGAGGTGTCTGGGTTTGGGCGTTTTTCCTCTGTGCCAGCCCAGGGTCCTGCATATGGGGCTCCTCCTTCCTCATCTTCTCGGGCCTATTCTCCTCCCAACCTGTAAACCTTGAAGATTCACCAGGCAAAATAGCACCCTAAAGTTGAAGTCAAGCTAAGGAGGCCTTAGGTATATGATCACAGGCTGGGCGCAGGTAGTTGCCTCTCCCTGTGGAAGGGTGATCATAGCGGAGGTGCTAATAAGCTTTACTTCCAGGCCTAGATTTTAAAAGCAGAGCCAATTCTTTATTAGCTGGCCTAAAGGAGGACCAGCACTATAGGGCTAAGTCCCCAATAATTTAGTCAACAACTTCTTTTCCTATCCTCCTCTCTCGTCTTTGGTTCTTGGTCCAGGGAAAGTGACCTCTACTGCAATTCTCTGTATTTGCCTGTGTAGGTTTTCAGGTGATGGCTTGCCTGTGACTTCAGTTCTTTTGATGCATGTAGGAAAATTGGTTTTCAGGGTTCTTTTGTTTTGTTTTGTTTTTTGCAGTTTTGGAGACTGAACCCAGGGCCTTTGCACTAAGCCACTTTGCACTAAGAAATTTATAGTCAAAATATTTGAAAAACTACAGAACCACCCAACAGGAAATGCACAAAAGATACGAATTGTCAATTAACCAAGGCGATAACATGGCTGAAAGATATCAACTTGACTAATATTAGGGAAATGTGACCCAAAAGGCTTACAAGTACTAAAATCCTTGATATAGCACTTTCATATCTCAGTATCTACCCCTGAGAAATTCTTGCACTTGCGCACTAGAGTGCAATGGGAAGATTTCATGGGATTCATCGTTTCCAACAGTACAGAATTAGAAGCTGTGTACACATAATTTATTAAAGAGCTTATTATTAAGTTATTTTTATAACTAAAGAAAAAAGGAATTAGAAATAACTGTTGAGCATAGCAATGCACACCTGTAATCCCAGCACTCAGGAGCCTGGTGCAGAAGGATTAATGCAAGTTGGAGTTCAGCCTGGGCTATAGTGAGTTCAAGTCCAGTCTGTGAGAGCCTATCTCCAAAAAACAAGCAACAACAACAAAAAACTTTTATGTCAAGTGATAGGAAATATATAAACTGGTACCCTCATGCTACATATGCAAAAAATTCTAAGACTTAAATGAGAAAAAAAGTTGTAGGATATACTATGATGCTTTTCAGCCTCAGACTGAACTATTTTTATAACATATTTGTTAGAAACTGTTTATAACAAATGTGTCACTTTTTAGCTGTTTGGCTAAAATTAAGTGTAAATATTTTATAACGTCCTTCACGCCAGTGAAACTTGTTTATAGTTGCATGTTATTCCCTATCATTTCAACAAAAATCAATATTCCATAAATGTAATATGAAGAGAAAGTAAAAGTAGTTTGTAGCAAAACTTTAAGTATCTTAATATACTAGAGTCTACCCATCTAGAACACACAGCGATGGAGTCACCCAGCTCCCAAACCCCTCATTATAGACTCAGCGCAGGTATAGATGCCAGAAATATTGACTGACATGAGTGTGTTGTATTGGTGACTTGAATACCACACAGTGGGCAATCTTCTTTTCCAAAATGGTGAACGATCCTTGAACAATTTTCCAAAAAAAAAGTTTAGTTTTCCCTTGATTTACATGTTCAATTCCTGAAAAGTCTTACATAAATATATTAAAGTCATGTAAATAGGGTCAGGTTCTAAGCTTGAATGATAGTAAGTGCACTCTACCTACAGCAGTGGCTGAGAGATCCATTTGAAGGGCATGAAAGGGGTTAAAATAACATGAGGGGAGATGGTCTGTGCCTTTCAGGATGTCCACTATCTTTCACCTCTCACTCCTTAAAGGTTGCTGGTGACTTCCGGTTGTGATAACCCAACCCCCCGCCAATTTCCTAGCTGACATTGGGAGCAGTAGCATCCCTGCTGAGGACCACCATTCTGAGCTCCTCCAGAGTCTCCGCCCCTTCAGGGTCACCGTCTTTCCACTGTGACCAAGCTCCTAAGTCCGTGGGCCTTTATTTTCCTGTAGGTTCATCAAGCAGGGGACCTAGAACTGTTATATGAAGTATTTTTGAGTGTTACATCCCAGGAGGATTTCAGGAGCTCTAAACCCGCGATATTACTGGGCCCACAAGACATTGAAATCCATCTTTTTTTCCTAGGCGTACTTTGTATGTTGTTGATACTGTGCTGTATGTACAGTTTTCAATTAAATCATTTAACATTTTTATAGATCTTCAAGAACTAGTCAGAAATATTAATAATGGGAACCTAATACTCTACAACACAGTTACAGCGTAACATTTTCTCAATCCCTATTTCAGGGTACTTGAGGATTTTTTCCCAGGTTTTTGCTATTGCAAACAACTTTGTGATTAACTTCTTTACTATCGAGCTTTTAAAATTTTTGGATTATTTCTTCACAACAGGTTAGAGTCATCAATGGACCCTAGATGGAATGATTAAGCAGCCAGATGCTCCTAGGCTGCCATGAACAGCTTTCTCAAGGAAGTCAGGTACGGATCTATGGGAGTGATGTGAAAAGGGTCATGGGTCAAGTCTGAAAAAGCCAGAGAAACTGGTTTCATTACAGAAGGACCTCTCAGACCCTTCTGCTCTCCTTGTGGCCCTGGCCTGAAGTCTTAGTGACAAAGGGCACTTACAACAGATGCAGGCTGAAGGCTCTGAGGGGGCCAGTAATTGGATGGCCCCTTTATTAACCATTAGCTCATGCCAAGAACCCTTCCTGATGCTTCTCGTGCATAGTCCAGGAAACGGAGTGCTGGGATCCCAGTCTCATAGGGTAGATGCTGAGACTGGGGCCAGGATGGCAGCAAGCTGCCTAAGCTCATGGGCTAAAGCTATGCAGCTGACCAGTACGTGGCTGGGCAGAACCTAGATGACCCCCCCACACACACACATACACTCAAGACTATTTAGTCAGTGCCTCTTCTGTGCCATTTCTGAGTGCTTAGCATATTAGTGGCCAGAACAGACAACCACGTCTGCTCTTAGGATGCTTACATTCTAGAAATACTAAAGAATAGACAATAATGCTATAACTAGGCATTATATTGAAGGTGCAGAAAAAGCAAAGACAAAGAGAAAGTGAAAAGATCTATGAAAAACAGAGCAAAGGAGGATGGGAATGCCGGAGGGTGGACATGGGGTGGATTGTGATAGCATAGCCTGTTGAGAAGGTGATACTTCAGTGAGAGTTTAGAAGGACGTGGGGGAGCTGGTTTTGTAGGCCCCCGGGGAGAGTGTTCCCATCAAAGAGAACAACTAGTGGAAAGGCAGCTTGATTCCAGGTTTCCCCAGACCCAGAGTCTCAAAATACACATGGATGTAAGAAAACTCCTGTTGTCAAGAAGAAGAATACTTGAACACAGCTTACAGACCAGCCAGAGCAAGGGATCTGACCTCTCCATGTACGACAGCTCAGGGATAGATGGAGACTGATTTCTGGGTTCTCATTGGCAAGCAGGTCTCCTTGCTGAATGTGTCCTGAGGAGGAAAGAGAAGATAATGTAACTGGAAGAGGCTTGGGTCACTGTTTTTACACCTCAATTAAAGTCTGCTGTCCCATTCATCTGCACTGCCCTTGGTTTCTCTGTTTCTGAGGGGATCTGTGTTAGCTACTGCATCGTGCGGATCCCTATGGGACTACCTAGTAGGGCAACTACTTCCTGGCATGTCTCTTAACTTCCTGGATGGGCTTTTTGGTTTCCTGGTTCATGCTGTTCATTGTCTTATTCCAGAGAAGATGGACTTTTTTGGGGAAGTACTATGAATTGAACCCAGGGCCTTTACGCGGAGCTGCATCACAAGTCCTTTTTATTTATTTATTTTTTTGAGACAGTGTTTTGCTAATTTGCTGGTTTCCCAGATTGAGCTTGAATTTGTAATCCTTCTGCCTCAGCCTCCCAGAATTCTGGGATTATAAATGTGCAACACTGTTTCCGGGGAGATGGATCTTTGTGATGCTGATGTCTCTGAATCTCACTGATGGAGCAGTTGCCCAAATAGGGAACGCTTGTTACTGACTCTCCATGCAGAGGAGGCTCGGAAGAAATTAATGCAAGCGCTGCTGGGCTGACCACTTGTTTGCTGTGACGTCCACTATGGTGCCCTGGGCTTCCTGAGGATCAGTTAGGGTCAAGCATTTACTGAGGCTACTCAGTGCCAGGACATGTGCACTAAGGATTCCACACAGCCTGCCCAAGAGCACACCAATGGCCCTGTAGGTAGAGTTGCATCGCAGTTTCCAGGAATCCACTCTGTCCCAGACCCCACCCACTTCAAAATGGAATGGAAGCAGGTGGGGGTCCACTCTGTGTGTGGCTCCTGGAGGACAGGCCAGGCCTCCCTCTCTTGGCTGCTCTGATTCCTTACTGTTTCCCTGGTCCTCAGATCCCTCTTTGGGCTGCAGTGTTCTTCAGTTTAAGAACTGTTTTAGATGTCATTTGTTTAAGCCTCTCTCTTGGACCCAGCTCTAGAATTAGACCTCTGGCTTTTACCTGATGATCAAGAGCAGAGAGAGACAGTCCTAACTGCCGACAGAAGTGTCAGGGTGGAGGCCTGCACAGTTTAGAGGAGAGGCTTCTGGCTGCCCTGAGGGGGTCCTGCTGCTTCCAGAAAAGGGGAGGTACCTGCATTACTCTGATGCGTCTACCTTAGGCCTGGGCATGTGGCTCAGCCTTGGCGGGAGACCAGTTGGCCCTTGGCAAATATTCCTTGCCTGAAAATCCTCGTGCTCCTTTCACAGACTTCTAAAAAGCAGGTGAGGTTTTTCTAGGTTTTTCTGTAAGAAATTTAGAAGTCAGCACCCTCACCCTTATAATAAGACAATGTCAGAGGCTGGAGATGTGGAAGGAAGAGAGGAAGAAAGACAAGGAAGAGTCTGAGAAAATGAAGAAACCCACAACTCTCTACCTCCATCAGAGAAATGAAGTCCTAAGGCAAACTTGGAAAGACAGACAGGTGGACATAGAACATTATAATAGCTCACCAGGAGCAGACGCTCACCCCCTGAGACTCACCACTGGAGCCAGTACCAAGGTAGGTAGGAGACCTTAAACTGTAATTGAATTTCTGGAAGTTCTGTGTGGACAAACCAGAGAGTTAATTCCTGGGGCCCTGGCCTACGGGTGCTGCCATTTTTGTGTTTTATTTCCAGGAGCCCAGTCAGGTCCACACAGTGGAGACTGAAGAAAACTCAGCGCTTTCAGCAGAAGTGGAAAAGTAGCTGATTTGAAAATAATACACTCAAAGCATTCTGGCATTTCTTGC